GCCCGCCGGGGTGCAGGGTCCTGCCTGAAAGCGGTTTTCTGAGGGCGTGAATGTGCTTAAAGGGAATAAAAAGGCGTCGAGAGTGCCCGTGTGTGCGTGGAGTAACATTCAGCCGTGTGCACCGAACCGCAGAGTCCTGGAAGGAAACTCCAGGGCAGGCACCCAAAATCTGATCTCCTTCTGCTTGATGAATATGCAAAGCACGCTTCCTTCTTCCTATTTTGGACCCCGTAACACTTCGTGCAAACCATGGGCAAGGATTATTTTCTTTGCTGAAACACCGCAACTACATGATGTAAAAACATTGCAGCCTTCCTTCTGGATACGGTTTATTTTTCCCTGTGGAAAATCCAGAGTTTAGGAAAGAAATATGGAAATTACCTGAGGGCAGTTCTCCAGCCTCCCGCTTTGTGTGCAGCACCAGCAGATTTCAACTCAACGTTTTGATCCCCAGGCCAGCCAGGGCCCCAGCCTTTCTCATTCCCCAAGGAAGGGCTTGGCGAGATGTGGGGGTAACTCCTCCATCCATACCAATTGGCCTCAGATGCCCATAGGAATCACGGCTGTTCAATTTGCCAGCTAGAAACTAGAAAAGAAATGCAGATCAGACTCCCATCTGAGAAGGAGGGGTTGATTTTTACCTTCTGCGCCATGAGTTGTGGTGTTTCCCAGCTCTCATCCCTGCAGGGCCGGGATAATTCCTTTGCACTGCACCTGCAATAGGTCATCCCACTTCTGGATGAGATGGAGTTGCTTGGAGTGAGCGTGTTTTTAATCTAGTCCTGCCTCGTGCATGGCAATTAATATTTATTGCAGTCTGGACTGAGTGATGGCATTTTTTTTCCTGCTGTGCAGAAGACATGTTTATTTAATCTACCACAGAAAAGAGTGGAAATTAGGATGAGCTTCAGAAAAGAGCTGGAAGCAATTAGTTGTGTTATTTTACTGTGACTTAATTACCGTAACATTCAAATTGACAAAGAAAACATGGATGCTACAGGAGGGGTTTGCTGCTAGATTTGAAAGGGAAAACGACTGCATTAGAATGGACATGATGTGTTTTAATTAACCTGTTTATTATTACTGAGTTACACATTCAATAATCTATTTATTTAGGATGCACTGGAGCATATGACATGTAGTAAGAATTCACACACAATTAAACTGTCCTTGGATGCAAGCAGAGCTCGCTGCACATCCACCACGGCCCGTGTGGGTCAGGGCCAGGACAAGCTTATGTGAGCCCAACTAAGCCCTCTGTGGCTCTCCGTTCCCTGCTGGCCCCGAAATAAGGAGAACAGGGAAAATGATATCAACAGGAAGAATGTAAAATAAGAATGACCACACGGGGTCAGCTCTAAGGTCCTTCGAGCCCAAAATGTATCTCCGGCACTCTGGTTTTTTAATTCAGCTTGTATAAATCACCTTTTGATGGCGATTTCAATGGCGAGGAGAGGTGATAAGCTTAACAGAAGCCATAAATAGAAATCTAGGGAAGAGTAAGAACACAACAAGCCAAGGTAATAGCTGACTGTGCTCCCATCCTGCAACTGTTTGCTCCATAGGAACCCCTGAAATAAAATTAAGGGAGACAGGGTGAGTGAGAGCTGAAGCAGCCACAGCAGTGTCCCCATTGCTCTTCAGGCATTCTAGTGTAGTGATAATAATAATTGTCATAAAAGAGAGTATCTGTGCCCATTATGTCCAGGGTCAGTTTGAACGCAGTTGTATCTGGGCTTGGCAAGATGACGGCTACTTGGGGAAGCAGAACAGCTGGTCCAGATGTTTTATTTTCAGCTGCTCTACGCGTAGGTTACTGACACTGGGAGATGCAGTCATCCTCCTTCTCCAAAGGACTGTGCCCAATGCTCTTTGGAGCACCTCTGGAACTAGCTTGCCAGTGAGGTTTTATAGAACATGCTGTTAGATTTTTTTGCACAACTTGTTTTTCTGTAGGATTTTTTGTGTGGCTGACTTGCTTTTACTATTTAAGAGCCACATTCTGCAGCCATTTGCACTTTATGTCAACGGGAAGTCTGTGCTCAGGGGTGCTGGCAGAAGCCGGCTCCAATGTTTCATAAAATAACATCTCAGTCCTTTCAGCAGCTTGTCATTTCCCTGTTTTGTTTAATTCCTGTAGCTGTCTTCATATGAAACCCTGAAGCTGCAATGTACATTTTGGTTTTCTGTTACAATGCTTGTTTTTGTAGCGGGAAATGTAATCCTTCAAATGCTTGTGTTTAAGAGGATGCAAATCAGCTTGCTAGCACAATGCTTTGGGAACGTTTCTTTCATGCAAAACCCAGCTAGATAAATAAGGAGGGGAGGAGGGAGAGGGAAAGGGATTGTTTGCTTCTATAAACAACAAGAATGAATTATGTTCAGTAAATGACAGATGGGTTAAGATCAAAATCTGAATCTTTCTCAATGTGGGTGAAATCTACACTTCTATCTCTGAGTTGCATCAAACCCCATTGCACAGCCTGTCCGGTGCCATGGGGCAATGACAGGGCGCGATGGCAAGAGCTGTGACTTGTGGCTGTCCCGGCAGAGAGCGCTAGGGCCAGCATGCCTGGCACCACCACGGCCACGGCGGGATGCAAAATACCTCTGCTATGAATCTGAAGTGTCTCTGGACCACATCTGCTCCATCAGGGAAATGCCAGCCTAGCGCCGATCTTGTTGCAGAGCAGAAAAATGGTCATTGCTTCCCGGTGCTCTCACCGCCCTAGGCTGCAGTAGGAAAAGGGACCAAACCGAGTCCTGGTTTAATGCAACCGACTGTAGAAAAGAGTGAAACATGTTTGAAAGCTCAGAGGGAGCAGAAAAGCTCCATGATAGAAAGGCATTTCTCGGATGGTGATGTCCTACTACTTGGCACTCAACAGCTGCGTGTATGCTTATATACATCTTAAATTACAGACTTCTCAGAAGGCATCTTTGCTGTCCCAATCCCAGCCATGCAGAGAGTGTGTTGTAGGTGCAGGAGGGGATAACTGATGGCATACGCAGCTCGTGCCACTGTGCACTTGCACAGTCAGGAAGATTGTGATTATCAGAGAATAGGTGAAGCCAAGGAATTACTCCCCCCCCCCGCCCAAGCATTTGGGAAGACGAGCTCTACTTGTTTGTCCCCAAATAAGCATCGTGGCCAAGGATTCTCAAAAGAAAATCACTGCTCTCTGGCTCCTGTTCCCACCTCTACTAGAGAACAACTGGGTGATCTGAGAAAAGTCAGTCTGCCCCTGCTTCATTCTCCCTCCTTCCACCCTGCCATTACAGGGGGGGTGGCAGTCAATTATTTCACATTTGTGAACACATTTTCAAACCTTTTCTGAAAGCAAGTGATAGAAGTGCAAATTCTTATTACTGCAAATTCTTATTACTGCTCTTGAAGAGCTTTTTGCAAAGATGTTAATGAGCTTGCTTAATGAGCTTGCTTAAATCTATATTTATATCCTATATACAGCTGTATATAGATAGAGCAATGCCTAAAATACGTATGGATTGCACACGCATATGCCTAGGAAAATGAAGGCTGATTAACACACATCTTTTTCAGTTATTACTGTGCAAGTATTTATTCCTTTTTCCTTGGAAATTGGAGAGATAAAAGATCCATTCTGGAATAAAATAATTTTGTGCATATGTGCTAGATAGTTTTGTTTATGAGACTGAAGTATGTGAGTGTGTGTATGTGAGACAGATGGTGTGTCTGTTTGTGAAAGATATGATGCGTGGATGAATGTGTGTAAAAATACAGGTTTCTTAAGAGCTATTTTTTTTTTTTTTTTAAGAAAAGACAAAATAACAAATGCCTGCTTGGTACATTATTTCACCATGTCATGCTCTTTGTCAATATGACAGAGGAGTATCCCTGCAGAAGGCGAAGCTGCCCCAGAAAGTGAAGGCTGCTGCCCCTAGGGTTTCGAGCTGGGCATCGTCAATTCTCTTCAAGTTTTCAAAGTCCTGGAAAGTTTTGATAAGCAAATACTTTCTGGGCTCTGCTTCTCTATTGGCTGTTTCTTCACCGCCAGATTTTGACACAAATAATCTGATTGAAAAATCAGGGAGGGGAACAGGGGCAAAAAAACAGAGAGAGAAAAAAGGAGAAGTATCTATTTCAGCAGACTGCGACGAGTAAAAAAGTGGAAGAGTCGTCCAGAGAGGAGCCAACGTCTCGCTTGTCTGGGGAGATTTCAAGGCGAATCCAGTAAAGCAAAGTCCCCCAAACAGGTGATTTATTTATTCTTTTAATCACTTCTAATTTCATTGGTTTCTCATTTCTCTGATATGTTTTTCTAAGCTTTTCCTTCTTCTTTGCTTGTCTTTGCAAATATGTAACATATTCCACTGCATTAAGTCACTTGTCCTGAGGATTGCTTTATGATAATGGTTCACTTAAATGAGTCAAACCTTTTAAAATTATATGCCATATACTTATTTCACTCTCACAGTGAAAATGGTAATAGTGGAACCAAATATAAAAGATGTGACAGTGGTCTCGGGTACCTGCGTCCCAGCAAGCTCCATGCAGCAGGAACAGTTTCCAGATGTAGACTTTTGTACTTAAGCATTGAGGAGAGGGCATACTATATTTTTTTCCTTTTAATTGTTCTTTTAGAGGGCCAGACCTTTAAATTCAGAAAACAGCACACCTCTGCTGCCATCAATTAAACTATGCCAGTTTTGCCAGATGAGAATTCAGTCTCTCCTGTTCAGAATTTTTGCTTCAAGTCTATCCTTTATTCAATTATTTTCCCATCTTTTCTAAGTATATGCTGATTAGTATAACAATTTTTAGCATATGGAATTATCTATTTATAGATGTTCCTCATATACCACCAGATTGATTCAATACATTAAGCAGGAAAACAAATGATTTGCAAGTTCGCACAGTAAGTGCATCTATACGTTAAGGAGATACAGAATTTGTTAGATTGCACTGTGTAAGTTTATTTATCCATAGAAGCCTAGGGCAAAGTTTGCTAAACCCACTGGCATTCCCAACACCACTAGGAGCTAAATGAAGTTTCTAAAGAACAAATGCTGCAATAATATTCTAAACATTTTTTCTAGATACTACAAGCATTGTAGTATGTACAAGCATTTCTGTTCCACTTCTTGGACAAAATTTCCACCATAATTTGCTAGCCCTGCCGTAATGTCCATTTGCCCAGTCTTGCCACAGGAATTAAAAATGTTCTGCTCATTTTTCCACTAAAAAACCGCATTCAAATTACTTGCCCCAAGTACATTCAATTTGGCAAGGGTGGACTAGTGAAGACACAATTAATTTTGTTGTAAAGAACTGAAATTCTTTTTGAATATAACTTTATATTTAAAGAGTCAAGGGTCCATAAACCCTCTTACTTTATTTGGGCTCTTAAAAATTTCAGACACCAGTTGTGTTGTGTTTTGTGCTTTTTTCTTAAAAAATACAGTCTGCTGGAGGACAAACTATTCGTTATTTTTGGAAGCTTCACCTTTGCCAGAAAGAACAGAAAAAAGCAATATTAAGATTTAAATATAAATTAAGCAATGGGAAGGAAATAAACCTCTTTTAGCCTAAACCTTTGTACACACATCAACTTGTATGAAGACATATATCCATTGCAAGTTAAAATGAAGTATTTCTGCTGAGTGTAGTGGGGAAAAGGGCTTCATCTCTACAATTAACCTTGTAAATTTGAAAACAGGATTACCTGAATTTAGAGGAAGATGAAAGTCAGCTTTAGAATGGAACTTACACTGCAGACTGGGTTCCTGATACAGCGTGGCACAGTCCTGCAAACACCTGTTCCCCAGTACGGCGTTCCATGTTATGACCAATCTCACTGAAGGAACCAGAGAGAACAGCGCCCTAACCTAATTCAATGAGAAAATGAATTTCTTCTAAATTATATCAGAGGGCCCAATCCTGTATTTTTGGGTACTGGGCTTCACAAGGAACATAGGTTCAAGTGAAATTAGGATCCTGAAGTCAGAAACCACCCCCTAAAAAAAAAAACAAAAAAAAACCAAAACCTTTTAAATTGATTCTTGCACAATCCCCAGTGTTTCAGTATTACATTACAGTTTTACATGTGATACTCTGCAAAATCACCAGAGAGCATCACTGAGGATGAAGGAACATTGAGTTTGAACATAGGAGGGGAAGATGCGAATGCTGGGTCTGCTTTCAGATCTAACTGGGGAATTTATAAAAAAATAAATAAAAGTAAAGGAAGCTCTTATGAGGCACTTCAAGTTACGTACCCAAAATGGTGAAGCAGGTTTTTTTTTTCCCTTGGGTCCTTTTGGCTGTCTTTTCCTCAGGGCAGATTACTACAGTGTTATTGTGTATCTACATGAATGGCAAACATAAGAATGTCAATTCTTGCCGGCTGCTGATTTTATATCCTGCATTGAATCAAAAAAAAAATAAAAAAAATGCCATGACTCTTCCATTTTGGGAGGGCACTCCTGCCCAAGCAATGATCTCCCTTGCGTGGTTGCCAGTCAAGGTGGAAACTGCTGCCAGAGAGGCTGGCAAAACCAGACTCCATAAAAATAAAGTTTCATTTTTAGCAAAAAGTTGAAGCTAAATTCTGACAAAGCTTCAATGACTTTAAGACGTGGTGGGGTCTGTTGTCCATAGCGCTACTTTCCCTGTGAAATACAGTTAGCCATTAGTGGCAGCTGATCACTTGCTACTGATAATCTTGAGTTTCAAGGAGTGATAGTATTTTTTCTCTCACAATCTGTGCTTCTAGCTTTCCTCTAACGCGGTTGTGTGAATCACAAAGACAGTCCAATGCAGTTGTTAATTAACTATGCTTTGGGCTCCCAGTTCCTGTTTTCTCTGTAAAATGGGGTGGGGGAAGGTAACTTCCTTTTGTAACGTTCAGTAGTGCATTAAAGATTGCTGTGCTCAGTAGAGGCCCTTATCAGCAGCCAAGATACTGGACCAAATTTGACTTTTACATACGCTGGGGCAAACACATCCAGAAAAATCCTGCTGATGCATCTGCATCTACTTTCAACCGCCATCAGAGAAGAGGGGCTGTACTTAGTGCCTTCGTGTACTTAGTGCCTTCACGTACTTAGCGTATGGGTGCTACCATGAAACACTGTAAGATTGCTTATGCCACCCATCTCCAGTCCTCTAATTTACCTGGCTAAGTTGTCCGGCTAATGCCTTGGCGTCCTCTAGCCGGTGGGCAGAGTGACTCTTGCAGCAGGCACTGCTGGGTGCAGGCTTTCACCCTGCATTCAGAGTTACCCCTGCCAGAGCCTTCTCCCCTGTGTAGGAAGGCCAGGGCAATTAACTGGTTAATTCAGGCAGAGAAATCAGATGTCTAAAGCTTGCTGGTATGAATACCCTCCATTGTGGACACAGTCCTGCCCCACCACATGGGAAAACCCCTTTGACATGAGTGGAAATTCCATGTATAAAGGGTTTGTGGCAGGACTGTGACTTGGGGCAGTTCTGTACCGCAGAGTGCACCTCCACGCACAGATATCCCACCTGGGACTGACCCCCTGAGCTAAGCGCTTCTGCTGGGATGTGAGGTGCACAGGTGAAGGAGAGCACACTGCTAGAAGGGTTATGCCCATCGCAGAACACGCCTGGGTTTGTATCGAGCTGGCGGTGTTTCTGTGCATGCAGCCTTTCGCCAGGCACAGATACACTACACGATACCTAGAAAGAGCCTCATTAGAGAGTTACAGAGGAGTAAATACAGCAGCGTACTTCAGCGTCACTTCCCTCAAGGGCATGCTTATGGTTCATTCTCAGTACTGTTTTGTCCTCTTTCTAAAATTAAATTAACAAATCTACTCTTGGCCTCCATTTTCTCTTATTCATCTCAAGTTACATGCAAATTTCTTGGAAAAAGATGAAGAAAAACAGGTGAGTCATTTCAGAAGAAAAAATGGCTAGCGACATGGAGAGTTATCCCTGAAGTCATAGAAGAAACAGTGGGAATCCTGGACCAGGTTTAAAAAGACAGCTATAACTGCATTTCCAAAAGCAGCTGGGCTGGTGAACATGGGACTCTCACCGACAACGGTGGGTTTGGCAATCCACCCGTCTGCAGCAGACCTTGCCATGTGAATCCCACACTACACGTACCTGTGGCTGTAGGCACCTCTTTAAATCTGGCCCTTGGACCTCTGAAGAAAACACCACTGAGCTACGTAATTATATTTAGCATGCAGGGGTAGTGCAGGCACTTCTGAACCCTAGGGAGCAGACCTTTTCCATCCCCGGATATTTGGGATTCCAGGAGCCCACACTGCTCTGTCCTGACTTACACAGACATTTCAGGTCATTCCTATTTAACAGGAGCAAATGTTGTTCTTTTTCAGTAAATAAGTAGGCTACACTTCAGCTGTGCTCAGGGGAAAAAAAAAAAGGACTTAATAATGCACTTTCCCTTCAACAGAGAGCCAGGACTTACTCCTGACTTTTCATATGAAATATAGCAAGATTTGCTTTTAGTGCTACTATCCTGAACAATTACAAGGGAAAATGCAAATGCATATGCAAATAAGACGCCAGCTGATACTGCCGTACACAGCATCGAGCCTGTTGTCATACTGCCTACATGAGAACAGTTACTAGCCGTGGGGAGCGGGAACAGGGCGGGCTGGGTTCTGGGTAGTACAGATAACAGATGCATTGCAAGAGAATTTTGTATGATTAAATTTCAGCATTTTATGTTTGTTCCTAACCCGTCATTTCAACGGTCTGTGATATTTGAGTCAAATCCAAAAGGTAACCAGCACTTCTGCTCTGCCTCTGCTTGAGTGTTGTTTGTCAGCCAGAACACAAAATACTCAAGCTACGGCCAACAAGAAGGAAACCTACCACACATCATGGCTGCGGGGATTTTCCACTGTGTCTCTCCTATTATTGATGTTGTTTCTATAGTATTATTTGTGTAGCAGCTTCACAGAGGAGCCCATATCATGGCTTGGGACTGCAGTCCTCTAGGTGCCGTACAAACACTAAGACAGACTCTTTCTCAAAGGGGTGGTCTCCAACCCACGGTCCCCACCGTGTCCTCTCAGGGAGGGTAAGGTCAGAGATGCACCATGTCCTGTAGTGAGAGCAGAGCGCTACAAGAGAGAGATTCTGGGTTCTGATGTATCTTTGCCACAGAAACAGTTTTGATCTGTAACACAGCACTCAATTTAAGCACGCCTCTATTTCCCCACCTACAATATAAAGACAGCAGTAATCCTTTGCTTCAACCTAGGGGTAGATTATGAAGTGTAATTTTTATGGGGTATACTGTAATCTGCAATCCCATCTTCGATCTGCAGTCCCATTGCTACATCCAGTGGCAGAGGCTATCTGGCAGTAAGTTATTTTGCTTAGCCCCCTCCTACGGCTATGTATTTTCCCAAGACTTGAGATCCATCAGGCACCTAAACCCAAGCAAGCACTCCCTGCTCTTCAAATGGGTGGAGGGACCTTTGAGATTAACTCTTTCTCTCCCTGGTAGAAGGGTTTTAATTCTCATCACTGCTGCATGCGGAGCTGATGTGCTGGGGAACAAACAAGAAATTTCCCCCCAAACCACAGAGATTTACCTGTCATTATTCTGTGTTTCTGCCTAGGCAGTGAATGGAAAATGCCACGTTCCTTTTTGGTGAAGAGCAAAAAGGCTCATACCTATCATCAACACCGCTTTGTGGAAGATGACCTGCCTATACTCACGTGGGATCCAATAACCTCTCCCTTCACTGGTGAGTCAATCCATCCACCAGGCTTGTAAGAATACACCAAAGCAAATCAATAATTGAGTAGGCAAGCTAAAGGAGCAGGATGAGTGAGCTAAAGAACATCTGAGGGCTTTCACACAGGGATGTCAGTCTGAGGACAAACCGATTCCCCCTGTGTGCCCTCTTTCTTTAGTCCCACTGAAGCCAAATTTAGATCCTCCCTTTGCTTCCTGCTGGGGAGATTTGAGATATAAGATTGCCGTGTGGAGTTGGTCACTTTTGGGAAAGATGGCCAACTTCAGGCAACTAACAGTTGGGAAAAGAGCATGCACTTGGTTGTCAGTCTTCTACAAACTCACAGCTCTGCCACCTCGATCTCCAGCTTGCTATGTTCACTATCCACATTCTCTCTGGACCTACATCTTCTGTACCTCAGTGTGTTACCACCTCCTCCCAATGATTTGCAAGGAAGGTTACAGCTAGAGTGAGAAGATAGTAGTGATACCCTAACACTGCCTGTGAAAGGAGTCCTACACACTCACAGGTGACAGGCTGGCTGCTGTATTAAACACAAACCAACACTGCTTCTGCCTGTGCTTGGTGTCCTCCTTCCACTCCTGTTCATGCTCTCCCACAGCCATTCATGCGGTGGCAGGGCCAGGGCAATTATCTTCTTCCTTCAGGCACCATTCAAATTTTCTATATTCAAATCTAGGATCAACTTACCCTTTGTTCTAGCCCTGGCTATCAAATTAGCCCTATGATAAGTTTGATAAAAAAGAAAGGAGGTGACATTGCACAAGAAGGTTTGGATGACAGATGAATACTGTCCTTCAGGAGCCCAGTCCCTTCTCCAGCAGAAAGGAGGCACATGTATTGAACCTCTATCCATTTTAGCTTCTTACCATAGTCTGCTTCTAACAAGAGCTGGTTGGTCTCTTTAAGGGCTGGGACAAACATGGAGAAATGGGAGTGTGGGCAGGAGGAGGTGAGATTCTGTGGTCACCTTTGCAACTGCGTAAGCAGTTACCTTCCCTCTCTGCTTCCCTACTTGGCTGTCTATAAATTCAGGTTAACAATACCGAACTCTCTTAGGAGAGGGGTGGTGAGGTTAATAAGTTAGTGATTGTTAGTTACCCGCACAAGTGAAAATGGTTTTAAGTAGGGAAATTATTCTTACAGACACGAGGCCTTCTGGGGTTAATCTTCTCTAACTGTATAGGGTATCGAGTGTCCTATCATTTCTTCCTGCCCCCCTCTACCTTGCCTATCTCATCCTGCTTGGAATTTCCCCTTGTCACCGATGGACAGACCTTGATAGCTGTGCTGATTGCACCACTCTGCACTTACTCAGGGCATCGAGCATGGGCTCACTTATCCAAGCATGCATTCATACAGAAGTACAAACCCCACCTTAATAGACTCTTAACAGCTAGAATAAACTGACTGTGACTCTACTGTGATTACAGCCATAGGAGACAAGACCCCGGAGGACATCAAGAAACAGGACCTAGAATGTGTGGTTCCAAAACAAGAAAAGGACCCACCTGAACTGAAAGAAGAAAGTGTCCCTGTCCAGTATCTGAGCAGGATGCTGCCAGGCCCTTCAGCTCAAGGTCTGTTACCCAAGATCACAACTGCAAAAGAGGTCAGGGCTGGGCTGGCTTATGGAGCCCCTTTGACTGGGTGCAGTGTTTTGGTAAATGGCAGCTCTTATTTTGACATCAATGGTCATAGCTCATCAAGAGCATTCTGTATTTCTCTTTACAAATCTGGTCTAGATCAGCATCTCCCTGAAGGATGATGCTATGATTCACAATAAGTGAGCCTCCAGATCTCAAGGACTAATGCAATTCCATGCTCTCTGGGTCAAGATGGGTGGCCACATGATACTTGTTCAAACACCACATGAAGCAGGGCTATTGGGGGGGTTAATATTCCCTTAGCATCCCCTCTCCCCTAAAATTTCCTCAGACTGAAATCAAAGTCATAATAGGAACTTTGTATGGGCATCAGGATTTGAATTAAAGAAGGAAGAGTTGCCAACTGCAGCTCCCAGGGTCAAGCAGGACATTCAATGAGGGAATGGTACCTGGGGAGCTTTTTTTACTGGTGCTGAGCTGCAGGCAATGGCATGACACTCACTTCTCCCTCTCCTTTGCAAACTCAGAGACGAGCGTCCCAGGTCTGCAGATCAAAGACTGCATTAACACGACAAGCACCCCTACCTTCTACAAAACCGGCTTTTCTTGGGATGCTTTCCATTTGCCATACAGCTACCGACAGATGTCTTCCACCATGCAGTCAGCCCTCTTGGAGCACCCAGTTAGCCTGTATGGAAGCCACCTCCTGCCAAGCGCTGAGCCACCTCTAGATTACAGCATGCATTACTCCTCGGACATGGAGACCTACCACTGTGTGACGTGCAACAAGGTATGTTGCAGGAGAACCTTGGGGACAGGGAGGGCCTGCAGTGATTTTCATTGCATACATCAGTGTTTCACTGGGTTACATCAAATTACAATGCATGCGACTCAAAATGGGTACCTACTTGTTCTCTTGATTGGGGACAAGGGTGCTAGGAATGATGTAGTTCGTATGGGTCACAAGAGGGAAGAATCAAATAAAGAGAAGGAATTGAAAAAAAATGATGGAGGCACAGCTGCTTCATGTCAAAAAATCACTGGCATTTTGTTTTGCAGGTATTCTCCACTCCTCATGGACTGGAGGTCCACGTCCGAAGATCTCACAGTGGGACCCGTCCCTTTGCTTGTGAAGTATGTGGCAAAACCTTCGGACATGCTGTAAGCCTGGAGCAGCACACCAATATTCACTCCCAGGTGGGTAGCATGTTTGCATGTTTCCAGAGAACGAGCTCTCTAGCGCTGATGAGTGCTTCAACCTCAGCTGTTGCTTACTCCATTATAAAGGAAGTGACATTTCCTAGGTTCCTGTAGCACCCAGTGGCAACAATAGGAGCTCTGAAGACCGTAGATCATAGATCTCAGACTGCCCTTGAGAATTCCTTGGATGGGAGGGGAGGATCATTGCTACTGGTTCTTCTGTGCCTCGCCTCCTCCTAAAGGGCAGAGGAGTTTGGATCACAAGATGTAATCCATTTCCATAAGTAACCCTCCCCACGTTCTCTTTGTACTGCACCTAGCATATCAGTCCATGAGCCGAGGAGATTTGCTTATCAAATCTACTATTCTAAACACTCTTAACACTCTTCAAGCTCTGTCACATGTCTTGCAGCCACAGAAAAAATCAAACGTTCCTCCACCCTCTCCACTCATCTACTGATCCATTCAGACACACGGCCGTATCCCTGCCAGTACTGTGGCAAGCGCTTCCACCAGAAGTCGGATATGAAGAAACACACTTACATCCACACTGGTGAGAAACAGAATATTCCCAATAAGCAAATGCAAATCCATCATGTTGATACACATACATAGTCCCCAGACACAAATATATTGGACTGGAAATAAGTGTGCAGAGGCACCAGGAAATTGTTCTTCCCCATGCAGTAAGCCAGAAGAAGGTCTAAGCATCATGTCATGGTTGTACCCAGCCCTGGATGCAGACAGGGCATGGGTGACACAGCTGGGGAGGGCTGCCTCTGGTTCTGGATCAGAGCACAGACATGTTAGCAGGATGGCTGAGCTGGCAGCACCCTGATGCCCAAGCATAGCCAGTCAGGTCTGAGTCTGCTAAAAGGCATTGCTACCTCCCTTCTCTCATCTGTCAAAGTGTTTCTTACCATTTTCTCTGCCCTGCAGGGGAGAAGCCCCACAAATGCCAGGTATGCGGCAAAGCCTTCAGCCAGAGCTCCAACCTCATCACTCACAGCCGCAAGCACACTGGCTTCAAGCCCTTCAGCTGTGAGCTCTGTGCCAAGGGCTTCCAGCGCAAGGTGGATCTGCGGAGGCACCGAGAGACCCAACACAGTCTCAAGTGAGGGATGGCTCCACGTCTTTGCTGGAGCTCCCACTGCCAGTGCATGCTCCAGGGAAGACGATTCTCCCCAGCATCTCCATCCAGCTTGGGGCTGCCGACCTCCTAAAGCTTGTGTAGCTTCCTGTTCCCCTGGGGACTGCAAAGTCATGTCATTGACCTTGATATTCTGGCACCCCAGGGCCTTGCACATCCCAGTAGGTGACAAAGAAACCTGTGGGACCTCTCACTTTTCAATTACAACAGGTACCAGCCCAGATCTGAGACCACCTGCTCAAGTACAAATCCAGAGGAATTCCTCCAAGGTCACTATTACTCTGGTTTTACACCACATGCAGAATTCGGTTCATCAAGACTGACCAGCAGTGAGGTGGGAACTCCTGGACTAGTGGCAGGAACAATCTGTGCCAAGCTAGTGCTGTAACCATGTGCTGCTTTGATGGTTAGGAAAATAAGGCTGGGGTATGCAAATAGATTGCATTCAGTGAGCTGTGTTCAACCTGGACAGGGCTTCTGCAGAGACTTGCCCAGGTCATAAATTCTGGCAACAGACACCTAAAGTAATTTTCTTTCAGCAGAGCATTTACTGTGATCAAATGACAAGTTAACTGTATTGTATTTTTAGCTTGGAGTGGGAGGAAAATACTGAAAAAACAGCTCCTATCCCTAGCTGATAACAGGGGTCTCTAAATGCATTCCTCATATGCACCATACTGCAAAGATCCCTGGGTTAGTGGCAGCCAAGCGACCTCCGGGAGGAGCCATGCCACAGCACTAGGCATAAGCTAATGAGCCCCATGTCTCAGAACCATGTGAGAGAGACTGGCTGCTCTTGGAATCCGGGCTGGTATGTCCCACAATATTTCACTGCATGCTGGACATACCAGTTTAGAGCTGTCCTGGGCAATCCTGTGTCACTGCATGGCCAGGAATGGCTGTTGGGTATCAATGTCATGGGTCAGAGTTCTGCTTTCCAGCCATTCTCTTAAAGGAAGAAGGGACCTAGGCTGTACACGTTGCCACAGTACATGAGCACCTTACAGATAGTATTCAAACAGAGCAGTGGTATTTGCTCTTCCTTCTTCCAGGTCTAGGGGTTGAAGCAAAGCACTGGAACAAGTAAAGACCCAGTTCCCCTCCAAGCTCCGCTACATTCTCACTATATAACCTTTGGCGAGTCACTGCACTGGGCTTTTATTTTTCTACCCCTCCTGGTGATGTGGAGTCATTCACTCAGGTCTGTAGAGTCCCTTGAGTTCTTAACAGGAAGGACAAAGTATTATTACAGCATTAAAAAGACAAGTGCTCTCAGTTAAGCAGGGCACTGTAGCAGCACACAGCCCCATCATATTCTATGATTCACTCCATAACTACATCCCTGGACACGCAGCCTTGGACAATGACACCAATGGGAAGTAGCCTGGAGAACGGGCTGCGGCACTAGCCATTTCACTCCAAATACTTATGAAGGAAGGCTACCATCCTGGGCAAAGAAGAAACGGTCCAAGCGGAAAATTCATTTCTGGCCAGAAGAGAAGTGGTCTGTCCTACCCTCAGTTACACTGCTGTAAATCCAAAGCCATTCTCCTGACTAAGACCTAAAATGTACTCACCCCTGCTTTATGTTGTGCCTAACCTGTTAGTCATTAATATGCATCCTAGAAGTTCAAAACAGAGTCTGTACTCCTGGCTTTACTTGTACACTGTAAATATGTATTTATATTATTCTAATGTATATTTTTATTGCACTATACCAGACAGCAACAACACGTACAGGCCTGCTGGGATTTATCTGATAAATCTGTTCCCTCTCAGTAACTGGGCTAACACACTGTATTTCACGTTAAAAACATCCATTTCAGGAAAAACTCATGCTTAGCTCTGGAGATGCAG